GGGAGAAAGAGAGAGGAAGAAAGAGAGAGAAACATCAACGTGAAAGGGACACATTGAGTGGTTGCCACCCGCACGACCCAACCAAGGCTGGTGACAAACTGCAACCAAGATATATGTGCCCTCAGCGGGAACCAAACCCGAGTCTCTCTGGACCACAGGCCAGTGCTCTTCCTCTCTCCCTCCTGCTCTATCTGAACAAAGAATGGAAAAATGTCCTCCAGTGAGGATGAAAAAAAAGAATGTAACATCTAGAGCCTGCTTTCATTGAGCTTATAAACACTTCAGACATTCTTCACAGGAACCATAGAACTTTTCAGGTAGAAGGAACCATAAAAATTCCCAAGTGTTTCTTGGGTTTAGGTCTAATCTCTGTAACTAGACTGTAGGCTTCTTGATGACAGGGACCATTTCTAAAACCACAGTGAGAAAATTGGAGACAGTATCATATTTTCCAGGACAAAGTCTGGGAGATTGCCCTTTAGACCTTGCATGTACACAGGTTATATGTTCTGATTTGGGATTTGAAAACACAGCCACTGCATGTTTACAGTGCCTGGCCAGTCCCTGACCCCAGCAGGCCCTTGCTGCAGCTGTACTGAACTGCTGTTAGAGGCCTCAGACGCCCCTGCACTCCCCTCACAGGTCCTTCTTCCAGAAATGCCTTCAGACTAGGCAGAACGGAAGGAGCCCCAAGGGGGCTTAGGGCAGGGTTCTGGCGGAATTTGGAATGGCTGGAGAGGGCATGAGATGGGGTCAGAGCCCTGCCTTCATGTGGTTACTCATTTTCTTCCCACAGAGTCTGTCATCTACTGTGACACTTGAACACTCTCCACTCCCTCCAGGGGTCCATATCTCTTACGAATCTCAGTGTGGGGGCCATGAGAAGAGGGATGGTGAGGCTGGGGACCGGGGCCAGTGCAACCACGTCCGAATCAACCAGATGGTGAGCGCCAGTCAAGATATAAGCAGAAGGGGCCCTGGCCGGGTAGCTCATTTGGTTAGCAGCGGTTCTCAACCCCTTTGGGGGTGGAACGACCCTTTCACAGGGGTCGCCTAAGACCATCGGAAAACACTTATTTCCGATGGTCTTAGGAACTGAGACTCCGCTCCTCTATCCCCCTCCAGCGGGTCCGCCCACATGCAGATATGCCCACATACAACATGAGGAACTGTATTAAAGGGTCGTGGCATTAGGAAGGTTGAGGACCACTGGGTTAGAGGGTTGTCCCCATATGCCAGGGTTGCAGGTTCTATTCCCAGTCAGGGCATATACCTGGGTTGCAGGCTTGATCCCCAGTAGGAGGAATGCAGGAAGCAGCCTATTGATGTATCTCTCTCACATTGATGTTTCTCTCTCTCCCTTCCTCTCTCTTAAAAAACAAACAAAACAATAAAAATATATTTAAAAAAACATTATAAAAAGTAACTGGAACAACAAATTGCTGTTTCTGTCTCCCTTCCTCTCTCTAAAAAAAAAGATAGGCAGAAGGAAAGAAGTTGAGGTGGAGTGAGAAATTGAGAAAGGCAGTGAGGTGGAGTGAGAAATTGAGAAAGGCAGGAAAAGATAGAGGGCAGGCACAGAAAACAATACAAAAACTTGGGGTAGTCCTCTATCCACCCTTTCTGAAGGGGTTTAATGACTAGTTCCTCAAGCATGTTGCTAGGAGATGGGTGCTAGCATGACCCTGTACCTTATTTTACTAAGGAGTAGGGTTCTGGATGGTCAATAGGTTTGGTGTGTGTGTGAGTGTGTACACGGAAGCACGCATGGAGCTTAGTCTGATTTCTGCCCATCCTGCCCTCAGGTGAATTTTTTGGTTACTCTCCAAGCTACCCGCTGCCTCCAAGAGCCTCATCTTCTGAGGTTCCGAGCTCTTGGCTTCTCAGAGGAGCTGACTGTGGAGTTGCATACACTGTGTGATTGTAATTGCGGTGACACCCAGCTCCCAGCTCCCCACTGCAGTGATGGTCAGGGGCATCTACAATGTGGGGTGTGCAGGTGAGGGCCTCTAGCTTCCCTTTACCTACATGGCTCCCCACAAGTACAGCCCCTGTATTCCTCCTCCTCTGCCTTCCATCCTTTCACTGACACCTCTAGACAAATTTTTCTAGACATCCCTAGACTGCACCCTGATTTTCATCTCCTGAAGCTTTCCAGATATGCTGAGACCCTCCCCTCCACCAGGACTCCCTCTGCTCTTCTCCTTGGTACTTCACTATATTCCACATCCCTTCAGTTATCTATCTCCAACTCTTGTGAGACCTTGGGTTTAGAGGGTCCCAGGAAAGACAGGTCAAGTGATATTCAAACTCTGACCCACCTTTTCCTCCCCTTCCTTCCCCTCCCAGCTGTGCCCCAGGCCGCCTGGGTCGGTTCTGTGAGTGCTCTGAGGCTGAGCTGTCCTCCCCAGATCTGGAATCTGGGTGCCGGGGCCCCAATGGGACAGGGCCCTTGTGCAGCGGGAAGGGACAGTGCCAGTGTGGACGCTGTAGCTGCAGTGGACAGAGCTCTGGGCGCCTGTGCGAGTGTGATGATGCCAGCTGTGAGCGACATGAGGGCATCCTCTGTGGAGGTACCTGGGGACTTTTGGAAGGGAGGATCAGAGTAGCTCTCCCAAGGGTATTTTGCTTCTGGGCCCTTCAAAGTACTAAGGGCGAGTGTTGAGTTTTTGGTGTAGGAGTTAGAACATGTATCTGGCATGCCTGGGAGGGACCTGAATGCACAGGCGCAGGTCAGCTCTAGGCTGTGGTGTCCACTGTGTGTGGGGAATACAGTAGTCACCATGTGCATAACTGTGCTCCAGGCTTTGGCCACTGCCAATGTGGAGTGTGTCACTGTCACGCCAACCACACGGGCAAAGCGTGTGAGTGCAGTGGGTACATGGATGGCTGTGTCAGTCCTGAGGGAAAGCTCTGCAGTGGGCACGGACATTGCAAATGCAACCGCTGCCAGTGTTTCGACGGCTACTACGGTACCCTATGTGATCAATGCCCAAGCTGCAAGACACCATGCGAGAGACACAGGTGAGGCCTCAGGTCTTGTATTTTGGGAGCAGAGGCACATGGGGCTCACTGAGCCACTGCCACCTGACTGCTTTCCTGCATGTGGTGTGGGTGACAACTGCCCAGTTTTTTGCTATCTACTGGACAGGGACTGTGCAGAGTGTAGGGCCTTTGGGACTGGTCCCCTGGCCACCAATTGCAGCATGGCTTGTGCCCATACCAACGTGACTCTGGCTTTGGACCCTATCCTGGATGATGGCTGGTGCAAAGAGAGGACCCTGGACAACCAGCTGTTCTTCTTCCTGGTGGAGGATGAAGGTGAAGGCAGGGTCATGCTGAGAGTGCGACCCCAACAGAGTAAGTAGGCAGGGATGCCTTGGAAATGCCAAATGGAGCCCTGAAGTTTGATGGGTAGGGCCTCAGAGCTCAGGTTGGGGAGGTAAAGATATAGAACCAGGCTAGAGATTGAAGCAGAGCTGTGAATCCAGGCAGAAGTAGAGGCAACGGAGCAAGTGGAGATTAAGGAACTGGGCACTGAAGATGACCCTGTTGGGTTCCCTTTGTTTTTAATGACAGGTAGGGCTAGTTGCCATACACACAGTGCGGGCAACTGTTGATCAATCTCTCTGCCCTAGCCCCATGTCTTTGTTTCATCCCCAGAGGGAGCAGACCACACCTTGGCCATTGTGCTAGGCTGCGTGGGGGGTATTGTGGCAGTGGGACTGGGATTGGTCCTGGCTTACCGGCTCTCAGTGGAAATCTATGACCGCCGAGAATACAGTCGCTTTGAGAAGGAGCAGCAGCAGCTCAACTGGAAGCAGGTGACTGCCCTGTAGTCCACCGGGCTGGGTTTTACCTGCTTCCCTTGGTTAGACCCTCTTTGCTTCCTGCTTTCTCTTTCCACCCTCAGCTCTGACTCTTCCCACCAAGGCCCCACCTCCCGCACCTAGGTGTATGCAGCCTGTCCCATTCCTCTGCTAATTTCCATAGGTTCCTGGGATCTGGCTCAAGTTCTAGGTTGGCTCTTAGGATTACATAAAGATGTCCCAGAACTTTTTACTCACCATTTCCAACTTCTTCCTGCAGGACAGAAATCCTCTCTACAAAAGCGCCATCACGACAACCATCAACCCCCGCTTTCAAGCCACATAAAGGCCCCTTCTCTGAAGGGGGTAGGGAGTATTCACCCCAAGGTTCTTCTTGCTGGGAGGAGGGTGGGAATTAGGGGCATGGGGTCCAGCAGGCAGCAGCCTGGTAGGGGACTTATCACCACCTACTTCACTCTCAGAGTGACACCCGAGAGGGCTAGCCTCCTGCTACAGACTTGCTTCCCTACCTCACAAGGAGTGAGAATCACTCCACCCATGTATGCAATAAAGTCTTACTTCAGATTGCAGATGTCATTTGCTTTACCCCATGGTCAAAGCAGGTTGTGAAGCCTGGGCCACCTCTTGCCACCTCAGGGAAGGGAGAGGTTCTCAAATTTTAATGTGCTGGAGAGCCAATCTGTGGCTGCCTGGGATCGAATTCTCAGGTAACGCTGGAGCACAGACCACACTTCATATAACCTCATTCTGTCTTGTTCTGCAGGTTGTTTTCCCTTAATCAGAATTGATACAGTTTCTCTTTTTCTATTGGATACCAGTTTTAATTCTACTTGTTGGCCTATGGAGAAGGGAGACTTGGAATTTTAAAATGGTGGTTTATAGGGTTGTAGGATGGTTGGGGTGAAAAAGGAAGACCCCCATTGTCCCCAGTGAGAAGAATTCCCCAAAGTATATTCTTTTCAAAGATGAGTATGTAGAAAAGCCCCATTCTTTTTATTTAAATATCCTAAATATATCACGAAGGAACATACACTGCACTTTAATGGTAAAAAGATACAAGTTTATAACATCTTATAAAAACTACCATTTAAAAGTGATCTTGTTCATTTGATATTCCCCCCTCAATAGCAAAATAAGTATATTAAAAAAAAAAAAAAAAAAAAAGAGGGTGGAGAGGAAGGGTAGGAGGGATTAAGATAAAAGCCCCAGAGCTAGAGCAGAGGCAAAGAACACCTGGGGAGAGGGTTAAAAGTTGTGGCAGGACTCTGTGCCTCATTTAACCCTCTGATGTCAAGCCATGGGGCACAATCAGTAGCTAAATGATGACAAGTGGCTGTTGGGGTGGACAGAAAAGACAGGGTGCTGGGAAGGGCAGGGCAGGCAGGGCCTGGTATAGCAGCTTACCCAGGAACTGGTGGTGCTACTCTTTCCCAGGTCCCCAAATTTCATGTCCTGGTCTCTGACAGCCTGCCCCATCTCCCCTTCCCTTCACTCCAAACACACCTGAGGCATCTTTCCAGTGCTAGACCCCATCCCAGCAAATGAAGAGTGGGGTGTTGGGCCCAGAAGCCTTTGCAGCGGTCTTAGTCTGTGGTTTCCCTGGGGTATAAGTGGGGCTCCTGGGCACCCTGGGCGCTAAATCACTCCTTTCACATCCATGGCCCCAGAACATCAGTACCTGGACAACTGAACTAACCACCTGCTCCTGAGTCTCCCTCACACCCAATGGTTGGCAGGGGTGGTTTTGGTATGGCTCTGCACATCCACTTAGTTCCCTCTCTCCCACCCCCTCAAGCAGGAAACTGAGGCCTGCTGGGGGCAAGGGCACATTCTGACCTAGACACACATTCGCACACACGGGGGCACTGATCACTTCCATGATTTTCTCCACCTGCCCACCCCAACCCACAACAGATTAGCTGCAAGGAGCAGGGAGTGAGGCCTCCCATTTCCAAAAGTGCTCTTGGGAGGATAGTGTTCTCTAAAAGTATCCTCCTTCCCAGAATGTATCCCCAAAGGTGAATGATAGACAAATTCCAGCCTGAGCAGAGCATCCTCACAGGAAGGGGGCTGGCTCACATGCAGAAAGATGCTCTGCTTACAGAGACCACAGGGCAGGTTCTGGGCACAACCAATGGGAGTGCAAGCCTAACGCTAGAAGAGCAAAGAGCAGCAACCACATTTCCCAAAGTCTCCCCAAAAGGACCTCAGGTACTGTCAGGGAAAACCCAAAGGTGTCATGCCTCTTTTCTCTTTCCCTGAAATCCTCCCACCTCAGAGGTATGGAGGACTGCCCCCACCCTCCCTGCTATTTCTTCCAGAATAGGTAACAGCCAGGAATTTGTTGCTGCTGTTCCCTACATTTTCTGGGAAAAGAAATCACACTTCCTAGAGGTTGCCATCTCAGATCCCCGCTGACAGCTTGGTCAGCTTTCAAGTCTCCATGATTACTTGCCACCTCACAGGTCAGGGCGGGCCACAGAACGCAGGCCACAAGCCCTAGAACCTTCCATAAGGATCTTTTTCTTAGCAGGAAGAGGGTTTTTTATTTCACTTTAGAAAATTCATGTTCACAAGCCCCTGAATTGGGTTAGAAACACCCTAACCCCAGTCTGTTTAGTCAATCTTAAGAACAAAACAAAACAAAAAAGCACAAAAAACCTCCAAGACAAGGCCCTCCAGTTCCCTAAATTGAGTTCCTCAGCTCCTGCTGGAACCTTAAGCACCCTTTAGGTTTGGGATGGGGGAGGCTGTCTTATGCTTATTCTCCCCTGTGCAGAGGCCAGAGAAGGGTTTGGCTCAATAATATGCCATCTCCAAGCACACAAACACGAACACTCACATACCACACACACCTGATCACTTTTTTGAGGGCGATAAGATGGTGGTATTGGAGCAGAGAGGAGCAAAGAATATGGTTAAGAATAAAACCTACATTAGTTTCTTCCTCAGTCCTTTCTCTGCAGCAACTCCAATCCCCCCAATTCTTTGTTGGGTAGGGATGGCCATCAAGAAGGAAGCCAAGATCTTGTTCTTTGGGACCAAAGGCCAGATCCCTATCTCCTCTACCTGAATACAGTGATAGGACTTGGACAGAGAGAACAGCTCACACTGCTCAACAGTCATGTCAGGGGACACGCAAATTTCTTTGTTTCCTGAACAGTTGTTACTCAACCTGGGACTCGTCTTGGGTGGTTCCTAAGAGAGCATAAGGAGGAAGAACTACTTTGATATCCACGACTCCCCATTTAACACCTCTGTTTGGCTTAGGAATCAATGGCAGCGAGGTAGCCACACACTATTTCCAAGGTCAACTGCTCAAAGAGAGAGAAAAGGGCTTCACGAGCCACTCTCACCCAAGTTTCCTCCAAAAGGCACTTAGGCTGATCCCATTAGGTACCAGTGTGGCATGGGCCATTACAACACTCACGGGCACAACTCTTACTCTTCCCCAGAGGAAATAACAGGTACCTGTCCATTCTTCTTGGATCTAGCCCCTGTCTGCTCCTCCTACTATTCTTGCTTTTGTCCCTACAGTGTACAAGGAGGCCAAAGTAAGCTCAGCTGCCATCTCTGATCCTGTTCTCCTTCAAACAGGAGGTGAGGGGCAGGGCTGTGGAACACTGAGGATCAATTGCAACAAAAACTCAATTTTGGAGAGGGCTCGATCACCCATGATCCCTGTGACCATGCCTCCAGATTACCTGTATCCACAGTGCACCCGCTGAAATTGCTTTTGGATAAACAAAAACAAGAACAGGACAAACAAATAAACAAATCCCTCTCCCCAATCTTTTTCATTTCAGCTGCCAGTTGGAGTCCAAGGTTGTGGGAGTCACACTTCAGTCTTGGTCCTGTACCTTGAATCCCCCACCTATGACCTTAGCCAAGGGTCCAAGAACTAGCTTTCCTACCTAGGAATGCTGTAGGAACTTCCCCAAGATACTCATAGTCTCAGATTATTTACAGAGCTGAGGCCCTGGGGCTGCTGTCCCCTGATGCACTCTTCTGGTCTCCTGGGTCCACTCCTCCAGGAAGGGACAGGTACACATGGGGTGGTGGTGGGACCATCAGACTAGAGGAGGGTGCGTTCTTCGGTAGATTCTTCTGATCACTCCCACCACCCAGGGCCCCTTGCGCCTATAGAGAAAACTGCCCGTCGGAAGTCTTGGACTGGCACCCTTGGCACATCCGTTTGTGTCTGAGTAATCGATCTGTCCGAGAAAAACACTGAGAAGAAAGGGAGGGTTAAGTGCCTGAGAAGAGAAACTCAGCTACCTGTTGGTTAGATCTGTCTTCCCCACACAGAAGACACACAACCAATTCCACATTGCCTCAGAATGTACACAGATGGCAGGAATGCACAGTGGTTAAGAATAAACAAGCTCTGAAGTCTGAATCCTGGCTCTGTCACTAAGTAGCTGTGTGACTTTGGGCAAGTTATCTAACAGTTTTGAATCAGTACATTCATCTATAAAACAGGACTAAAAGTACCTACTCACACTGTGGCTCCTTCATTCATCAAATGTTTATTGAGTGTCTATCTCAAGGTAGGTACAGTTCTTGGGGCTGCAGATAGAGTGGCAAACCAGAGGGACAAAGTCTCTGCCTCATGGAACTTTCATTCTAGCGTTTTGAAGATTCAATGTAAGAGCATGGAGCAAAGCTTGAGACATAGTAAAGCATCCAGGAGATGTTGTTATAATTTCTCATCTCTTGTTCTTTGTTTTGGTTCTGGCTCTTACATTCTCATCACATCAGATACTGACCCCCAGTGCAGAGACTATATTTCTTCCTCCAAAGTGCACCAGCTCTGAAGTTTGACTGAATCCTGGCTCTGCCCTTGATCTGCTGTGTCCCTGGGAAGCTTAACCTCTCTCAATCTCAATTCTCCTACATGTGAAATGAGGACAACACAGCTACTTTATGGAGTTAATGTAAGAATAGAGAAATCTGCCCTGGCTGGTGTTGCTCAGTGGTTAGAGTGTCAGCCTGTGCACTAAAGGGTCACAGCTTCGATCCCTAGTCCTGATCAGGGTATATGTGGGAAGTGACCAATCGATTTGTCTCTCTCACATCGATGTTTCTCTCCCCGATCCCACCCATTCTCTAAAGAAAATCAATGGAAAATATATCCTCGGGTGAGGATTAACAAATAAATAAATAAAAGAATAATCTATGTCAAGTGTGCTCTCACAGTGCCTGACATAGAGTAAGATCTTAAGAAATGCTATTATTATTATCAAAACTATTCTAATGGCCCCTCCCCAGGATCAGATGCATAAAGGCCAGAGAAATACATCTCACTCTGAGGTACTAACTTGACCATGGCCAGGAACGGCAGATGGCCCCAGGGAGTGGGGGCTGGCCCTGGTTCTTGGGAAGGAAAAGTTTCTGTAGAGGGTAGATGGATGACATGTGAGCTTACCTGATGACACCGTTCACACTGGTAGGGCTTTTCACCACTGTGCACACGCTTGTGACGCTCAAGGTGGTACTTCTGGATGAAGCGCATATCACATACATCACACTCAAATGGCTTCTCACCTGGCCCAAGTGGAGAGAGAAGTTACTGTCTGGAGGTATACATGGCAGAGGCCCTGTTCTAGGTGTTTCCCCAGAAATTTTAACTTTTGGCAATGTGCAGACACCTAATGAGGAAGGATCCAGAAAGCTGTTGGTCTCAGTGATACTAGACACGGAGCCATACACAGAGACAATCTACTTCATTAATTTACATTCTTTTTAAAAAAAATATATTTATTGACTTTGAAGGTTAATATCTTTTTTTTTTAATCCTCACTGAGGACATTTTTTCATTTTTTGTTCAGATAGAGTGGGAGAGAGAGAGAGGAAGAGAGAGAGAGAGAGAGAGAGAGAGAGAGAGAGAGAGAGAGGGAAACATCAACGTGAAAGGGACACATCGAGTGGCTGCCACCCGCACGACCCAACCAGGGCTGGGAACAAACTGCAACTGAGGTACGTGCCCTTAGTGGGAACCAAACTCGGGTCTCTCTGGACCACAGGCCGATGCTCTAACCGCTGAGCCAAACCAAACCGGCCAGAGCTTACCTTCTTCCTTTATTTCTAGTACTTACTCTTTAAAATAAACCCCATACTTTTTTTTTTATCCTCACCCGAGGACATTTTTCCATTTTTTATTCAGATAGAATGGGAGGGGGGGGGAGAGAGAGAGAGAGAGAGAGAGAGAGAGAAAGAAACATCGACGTGAAAGGGACACACCGAGTGGTTGCCACCCGCACGACCCAACTGGGCTGGGGACAAACTGCAACGGAGGTACATGCCCTTAGCGGGAACCAAACCCGGGTCTCTCTGGACTGCAAGCCAACTCTCTAACCGCTGAGCCAAACCAGCCAGGGCTAAAATAAACCCCATAAAGACCACACACATGCATACCCAATTATACACTGTTCTCCCCTCCTTGAATATGAGCAAGAGACTTACCGGTATGAATAAGGATGTGCCTCTTGAGGTGGTAACTGCTCCTAAAGGCTCCAAAGCAGTGTTCACAAACAAAATTTTTGGGAATCTTTACTTGAAAAGAACCATTTTGTTCTACCACCACCACCTGGGGGCAACAATCAGGCATGTCATGAGGCTATCTCTGTCCCCTTCTTGCCCCCATTCTACTCAGGGTCTATTTCCAGAAGCTGGACAAAGTAACCCCTCTGATGCTGTCATCTCCCATATCCCTTAGAGTTCAGAGACCCACCGAGAAAGGAGGTGTGGGTAAGCTACCTACCTTGTCAAACACAATACTTTTTTTTTTTTAATTAGAGTTATTAGACTTTATTTTTTTATCCTTACCCGAGGACATTTTTCCATTTGTCTTTAGACAGATTAGGAGGGAGGAAGACAGGAAGAAAGAGAGAGGGAAACATCAATGTGAGAGAGACACATCAACTTGTTGCCTCCCACATGACCCTGACCAGGGCCGAGGACGAACCGCAAGTGAGGTACATGCCCTTGGCCGGAATAGAATCCGGGTCTCCTTAGTCCACGGGCTGACGCTCTAACCACTGAGCCAAATCAGCCAGGGCAAATGCAATACTTTTAATGGGACCTGAGGGGTAGTCTGCCTGTCCCTTGTCACAGGATCTCAGGCTTCCCTAACCTTCCTTCCCTTACCAAAAATGTTCTGCAGAGGGTAGAGATCAAATAAATGAAATTCATTCTCTGAATGAGATCAGGGCAACACACTTACTGGCTGTTGAGGGACTAAAGCATCTAGGAAAAGTTCCAGGTTGAGTTATAAAAGAAGAAAGAGGAGGATTGCCCCATTAAACTACCAGTTTGGGGATAACCCCATTACCTGCCTTTTTAACTGTCTTTTTTGAATGAGAGGTCTCGGCCAAGCTGTCTTCATCTTTGCGGCTCCTGGACTTATCGCTGTCTTTTCGGTGGCCCTTGGAATACAAATAAAATCTAAACTCACAGTCCATCTCAGAACACAAGACAGGAGACCAAATGCTGCTTTTAGGCAACTTGTAAATGAGAGTATACCATCTGCCCAAAGGTTTAGAGAAAGTACTCATCCATTTCTTCTTCAAATACTCTGGTCTGAAGAGGTTGTAGGTATAGAAAAGACCTTCTTTTGCTCTCTAAAATACCCATATGCATTCATTCCCCAGCCGGATCACCTTACCCCTTCCCTAAACAAGCACTAAGGAATCAAAGCTTGGCATCTCCTGGTAGAGAGCCTGGCCACCCGACCCCCAGGTGCCGCAATGAACTCAAGTGCTGTACCTGACTTGAGCACCTCAGCACATCAGGGCTACCTGCCCGCTCTCCATTCTCGGCCTGCTTGCTGGCAATCTGGCTCAGCATCATCTTCTTGCTGGCTGCAGTGGGAACCAAACTCACACCTGCTAGGCCTTCACAAGCCAGGAGACTTGCCTAAGTTGAAAGGAGATGAGGTGTCAGGTCACCTGGCAGGGCAAAAACAGGCTGCCATCCTCTATAGAACCACCCTTTACTCCTAACTACAAACAAACTGCTTCTCTCTAGGGAATGTCCCTCCTCACTTTGAAACCCTGCTTCTTTCTGGTCTTTTTTAAATCCTCACCCGAGGACATTTTTGCATTTATCTTCAGATAGAGCAGGAGGGAGAGAGGGAGAGAGAGAGAGAAACATCGATGTGAGAGAGAAACATCGAGTGGCTGCCACCCTCATGACCCAACCGGGGCCGGGGACCAACTGCAACCGAGGTACGTGCCCTTAGCGGGAACCAAACGCAGGTCTCTGTGGTCCATGGGCTGACACTCTAACTACTGAGCCAAACCAGACAGGGCCAAACACTGCTTCTTTCAAGAGTCCTCCCTAACTCATCTCACCAGGAACTATTTACTTTGTCATCTATCATTTAGATATACTAATCAAGTATTATTGACACTTTTATCATTAGCACTGTGCTAGATACAGTGTGGGTCTACATATTACTTGGATGTATTTCAAAGCCTTATAAGTGGGCATAAGGGTCTGTCCTGCTGGCCCACTGAAATGGGAGATTTCTAGGAGAATTTCCTCCTTCTTTCAATTGCACTCAGTTTCACAGACCCTGTAGGTGTCAAACATATATTCTACCAGGTCCCAAAAACATGTCATAAGCAAAATTAGATCATTTCACTCTTTAGGTTTTAAATTCTCTAAGTGTTACCAATTATAACAGATATTAAAATTATTGGAAGAATTTTGGAGTTGAATTTCTGTTGACATACCACCAGGCCAGGTATATGTGTACATACCCCAATTTTTTCACATTCCCTGTTCAAAATATAGTTTAAAAATTATATAAGCAAGGAATGTTTAAGAAAATTTCCTCTTTCTACTGTTACGTTCTTCAAACTGTTTTAGCCAGCACTAGAGAATACACCTTTTTTAATGAAGAAAACTTTAAAGAAGTAGTTGGTTAACAAACTTCCACAAGTGATTTATAAGAAATTCCTTTTAGATGATCAGTATATCCTGGAACCCCTTTTGTCTCTCACCTTCAAGGACGTTGGACTAAAAGGTCTGGAGGCTAAAAAACACACACAAAACTCAACCTTGCTGTTTGCATTATATAATCTTGGGCAAATTACTTCACCTCTTTAAACCTAAGTTTCCTTAAATGCAAAATGTTTATCATAGTGTCTACCTTCACAGGGTTAAGGATTAAACTAGGATGTAAATTGCTTAGCAGTGCCCAGTACAAAGTTAGTGATTAGTGAAAGGCAGTCTTCTCAGAATAAAAGTGAACATGATGATGTGAAAGGGTTTGCAAATAGACAAAGGAAGAAACGAAAGGGTTCCTACTCTGCATGGAAAGGAGGAAACTATGCATGCAGCTGGAAGAAAGCCAATTATACTGTACTCAGGCTGCCATCCTGGTGAGACAGGCAGGGGAGGGTCCCTGGAAAAAAGCTGAGAGAGGCTCTAGAGATCCCTACACATAGCTTTACTACCCAGACAACGAAAACATACTGACAATAACCTATCAGGTCATCCTGTCTCTCTAATCCATCCTGTATCCTCACAATGTCAATTGCCTTCTAAATACACTGATCTGATGTCATCCTGCTACTTAACATTCTTCAGAGTTTCCATTCCCTATAGAATAGTCTAATTCCTTAGAAAGGCATAAAAGACCCTTGGGTTACACTCTGCTTAATTCTCCAGGAAACAACTCCTTCATCCCAATTTTTCCATCCATCACTATCTATCCTATCCCTCATTTAAATCCTTTCCTCCTTAACTAGCCAACTATCTGCAGTATTCCCAACCTCATCACATTCTCTCACACCCCTAAGTCTCTGCCCATGAAATTCTCCTTGTCTGAACGCCCTGTTCTGATTTATCATCCTATGCATCCTTCAAGATTCATCTTCTTTTTCCATTCAGGCAGAGGTATTATTTTCTCTTCTGCTGTGTACATATCTCAATTATAGCACATTACTTCAATCAACAGATTCACTGAATCTCTACCAGTCAGCCACTATGCAAGGTAGTATGAATATAAAAATAAGTAACAGACTGTCTCTTCATCTCCCCCCACCCCAAAACATCTAGCCTAGAAGCTTCCTGGGGACTGGGACAATCTTATTCATTTTTATATCTCCCCAGCACAATGCCTTGCATATAACAAGAGCTCAATAGAGTCCTATTGGGAAAACAAAACAAAACAAAACAAAACAAATGAAGCATTCACAAGACTGTTCACTCCCTCATGCCCCTCAACACTTAATGTACCAAGTGTAAACTGAGTACCTGTTGCTTTGCAAATGTCCCATTTAGTGCCTGTGATGCAGTATAGTCTACCTCCTTCATTTGACTGGAAGCTCCCTGAAGGCAGGGGCTGTCGCCTGTCTCCTTTCCTTCCTCTAGATCTCCCCCTGGTGCTTAATACAGAGCTTGGCTCACTGGGTTGGTCAATATGTTGACTAAGGCAGCATTCAACAGTGAAACTGCAAACAAGCTTCCCAGTGATCTTGAAGGAGGACTCTACTTTTTACCTGAGCCATGCTGATTTCTCACTTAATGCAACCCAAAAGTTCAAGGGTTTCTTGATCCACCTTTCCTTAAGACACTGTTGTTTGAAGAATTGTCACCAAATCACTGTAACAACTCCTTCATGTCCCTTCAGTCCTGCTGCCATATTGAACTGCCTTTGTCTTCAAAAAGAACTTCAAAAAAGTGTCTTGTAAATGGTAGATGTTCCAAGAATTCCTGGACTCTGCCTGGCTCCTGCCTATTGTCTGAAGAAAAAGAGCGTGCCAGTCTTCGTTTTCCAACTGAATTCTCTCGATGAAGTTCACGATCTGTTTCAGAAACCTGAAACTGGAAAGGGAGATGGGGCTGTTAGGTGCAACATCCTCAGGCAATACAACCTGTAGTAACTTTTTTTCTCGCTCTATGTGAAGCCGAGAAAGAGAACATTAGTCAAGCAGAATTATCTTTCTAGTTCGAGAACAAACTGTCTCTTGGGTAAGGGGGGAGGGAAGAGGGAACAGTCAAGAAAAGCAAAAGTAACTGGGGTCTCTTTCTGGAGGAACCGCAACAATCCAAATGTTTCGATTTGCTATTTTAGGAATGGAAGAAGGGAGCTGGGGCCCTTCGGGGCTTTTGTGCAGTGGGCCAGTCTGCGAAGCTCGTACTCTTATTAAGGTGGTCAGAACTATGGTAGAGAGAAACTCAGGGGCTATCACTGGGCGCTTGGGTAGCACGCAGAAACCAGACCGGCAGTGTGCACCCGGGCTGGGTCACACGTGCACCTTCTCCGAGTCTGCCCGAAGGTGCAGAAACTCATTGCGGAGGTGGAAGGCAGGCATGCGAAGACCCGCGCTGCGCGTTCCCTCCCTCACTCCAGCCAGACGCTGTGCCTGGAGAGAGGAGAGGGACGCAGGGCGCCGAGGAGCGTGCAAGGTGCGTGCTCGCGCCCGCGTTCCCTCCAAGCAAGCCCCCTCTCTCGGGTCCGTAAAGCTGCGGGCGGGGGGCGGTGCGCGGTGCGCGCGCGCGCGCGACCCCTTCCACTTCCCAGAGAGCCCCCTCCCTTCTCCACGCGCCCCTCCTCCCTTCCCCTCCCCCTTCCCGCGCGGCTCCCCTCGGCCTGCAAGCTGCTGAAGCGCTGCCGTCAGGTCGGACGACGGTACGCTCCCTGGGGCGTGCTCCTACCTGCCAGGCGCGGCCTCCAGCTGTCTCACCCACTGCGCGACGCCTCCTCCAGGCCCCAGCACACTGTGCCAACCCCGTGGCCGTCGCTGCCCCCGCCGGGACCGAGGCAAGTTTACAAACACCAACCCAGGGCCCGCTTCCCCGGAAGCACTTCCCCCTCCCCCCTCGTCCTCTCCGCTGAACAGCTATATACACTTCCGGGTTCGGGAGTTGTTGTTTTTTTGGACTGGCGGTGGCAGCCAGAAAGGGGGTGAGGCCGAGGACGCCAGGCAGCTAGTAAGAGGGCAGTGCCTTCACACAGAAAGACGGGAAGAGAAAGGGTCGGCAGTACGGCGCATGCGCCATAGTGCGGGCGAGCTCCAGGCGGCCATCTTGACTGAGGGCGGGAACGAGAGTCCTGAAATGACTGGCTAGGTGCTCGTTGCAAGTATTTGCTAAAAAATCCTCGAAAAAGCGCCATCACTTTACCTACCTTCCTCGCAGACGTTCTCCCTGTCGCTTCTGAACCTGGAGCCTCAAATAGAGCCAGAATAGTTCTTACCCCGCCTTTTCACGTAACTCGGCCGAGGTTGTCTTTACCTGAGCTTTACATCAGGCCCAGATCTGCAGATTCTGGGGCCGCCCAATCAGCTGGGAGAGGAATTAATTTTATTTCTCTTAAAAAAAAAAAGATTTTAGAGAGAGGAGAGAAACATCGATGTGATGATAGGTTGCCTCCCTCACGCGCCCCGACTGTGATCGAACCTCAATTTGGGTTTGTGCCCTGACCAGAAATGGTCCCACTACTGGTGCATGGGACGATGCTCCAACCAACTGAGCCACAGGACCAGGGGGAGTAAACTTTCTTTGCACACTCCTGCTGTGTACTCTCAACTCCATTCTGAGTGCACCCTTAGGCTAGTCTTGTTTGCTTTCAGACTCCCCGGAGTCTGACATTGGCCTCGCTTGGGAAAAACTGTAGGACTCCCCTCAGTAGGAGGCTCCCCTCAGTGGAGAAGCCGATGGCCCGTGGACCTGGCTTCATTAGGAAAAAGGAGAGGAGGGTTTCTTCAAATTCTACTCCCAACTTTAGCTATTAGGGAGTGGTCCTGCTTAATATGGACAATACAAAGTGCACTTGATGGGCCCGACCCCTGTGGCTCAGTGGATTGAGCGGGAGGTCTAGTTGATACCTGGTCAGGGCACATGCCCGGGTTCGGGGCTCCACCCCTAGTAGGGAGCATGCAGAAGGCGGCCAGTCAATGTTTTTTCTCTCACATGGATGTTTTTATCTCTCTCTCTAAAAAAAAAAAAAAAAACATTAAAAAAAACAAAGTGTACTTGATGGAAAGAAATGTCCATACCATTTAGGTCCCAGCTTCTGTGGTAGGTGCTGTCAGGTTGTGAGTTCAGGAGAATTAATGGCAATAGTAAGAGAAAAAAAAATATTTATGGAAGAAGATAAGTCCTAGCCACTTTTTGCACAAAGGTTTCATTTCCCCAGGCATTCCATTATTTGAGTCACTGACAGCAAGTCCTTGTGCTCATAAAATTGAGATAAAATGGATATAGAGAGAAAAACGATCAGAAATATGTCTTTAATTTTTTAAAAATTAGCTAATTTATTTTAACAAATTCACACAACAAGAATAAAGGCAAAAAATGTTTAGTTTCCCCCTCTACTATCCCATGTTCCTGAAGGTAGTTATTTTTATTAATTTGGTTTATACCTCCAGGCTTTTTTATGTTCATATAAAAAATCGTTTTTCATTCAGAACATATTTTTTGAGCATCTACAGTGCACCACACAATAGATTTTATTTTATTGTTATCTATAATTTTTTTTTTATTGATTTTAGAGAGCGAGGAATGGGGAAGGAAACAGAAAAACATTGATGAGAAACATCAACATCAATTGGCTGCCTCCTGCACACCCCCGACCAGGGACTGAACCTGCAACTCCGGCACGTATCCTGACTGGGAATTGAACCAGCTACCTCTTGGTGTGTGGGTCGACAACCACTAGCCACACCAGTCAGACCACACTGGATTTTATTTTATTTATTTATTAAAAATTTTTTTATTATTATTATTATTATTATTTTTATCCTCACCCGAGGATATTTTTCCATTTTTTGTACAGATAGAGTGGGAGGGAGAGAGAGGAAGGGAGAGAGAGAGAAACATTGATGTGAAGGGACACATTGAGTGGCTGCCACCCGCACGACCAACCAGGGCCGGGGACAAACTGCAACCGAAGTACGTGCCCTTAGCGGGAACCGAACCCGGGTCTCTCCGGACCACAGACCGATGTTCTAACCGCTGAGCCAAACTGGCCAGGGCTTTTATTATTGATTTTTAGAGAGAGAGAGAAATATTGCTGAGAGAGAACATCGATTGGTTGCCTCCAGCATGTCCCCCGACTGGGTATCTGGCCCACAACCTAGGCATGTGCCCTGACTGGGAATCAAACCAGTGACCTCTTGGTGCGTGGGTTGATGCTCAACCACTAAGTTACACTGGCTGGACTGGATTTTATTTTATTTTATTTATTTATTTTTAATATATCTTATTGATTTATTAGAGAGAGAGGGAAGGAGAGAAACACTGATGAGAGAGAAACATCAACATCGATTGGCTACGTCCTTCACACCCCTCAGCGGGGATTGAACCTGCAACCCAGGCATGTGTCCAGACTAGGAATCAAACCAGGACCTCTCAGTCCATGGGACTATGCTCAATCCACTGAACCACAACCAGCCAGGCCATACAGTGGATTTTAGACATCTAAGTCAGTTCACATCTTAAGAATGTTGCATAGTATTCCAACTTAAGTTTGTACTTTTTTTTTTTTTGGTACGTGCCCCTGGTGGGAACTGAACCCGGACTCTCTGGTCTGCAGGCCAACACTCTAACCACTGAGCCAAACTGGCCAGGGCTGTATTTTAATTTGTCCAGACCCATCATGATGAACATTTAGGTTAGTTCCAATATTGTTTTATAAACAATGCCATAGTGAACATTCTTATATAGTTATCCTTTTGTATTAGATAAATTTGTAGATAGGATATGTGCATTTTAAATTTTAACAGATTCTGTGACATTGAATTTTAAAAGTTTATAACAATTTTTGTATTGCCCTAGCTGGTTTGGCTCAGCGGTTAGAGCGTCGGCCTGCAGTCCAGAGAGACCCAGTTTCGGTTCCCACTAAGGGCATGTACCTCAGTTGTAGTTTGTACCCGGCCCTGGTTGGGTCGTGCAGGTGGCAACCACTTGATGTGTCCTTTTTGCGTCAATGTTTCTCTCTCTCTCTCTTTCTTTTTCTCCCTCCCACTCTATCTGAACAAAAAAATGGGAAAAAAAATGTCCTCGGGTGAGGATAAAAAAAAAAAAAAACAATTAAAAAAAACAACAATTTGTGTATTCACTCAGAACCTCGTGTGAATGTCCCCATTTTCTACAACCTTGGCAATACTGGATGCTATGAATTTTTTATACAGTTGCTAATTTGATAGGTGAAAAATAGTAACTTTATTGTTTAATTTGCATGTCATTAATAGTGAAATTGAGCATCTCTTGTTTACCATTTTCATTGTTTTTGTAAACTGCCTGTTCATTTTTAGCCCTTTAAGGAAAAAAGTAGATCATAAATAGATCATCTGTCTATTTCTTTTTTTTTTTTATTCTCACCTGAGGACATTTTTCCATTTTTTGTTCAGATAGAGTGGGAGGGGGAGAGAGGAAGAGAGAGAGAGAGAGTGAGAGAGAGAGAAAGAGAGAAACATCGACGTGAAAGGAACACATCGAGTGGCTGCCTCCCACACGACCCAATCAGGGCTGGGGACAAACTGCAACCGAGGTATGTGCCCTTAGAGGGAACCGAACCTGGGTCTCTCTGGACCGCAGGCCGACACTCTAACTGCTGAGCCAAACCGGCCAGGGCTATCTATTTCTTATTGACTGGTAGAACTCTTCTCCATGTGATATTAACTTTTTATTTTGTCATGTGCATTCAAAATATTTTCTCTTGGATTTTCATGTCTTTCAACTTTATTTTTCAGGGCAAAAGTTATGCTTTATGGGAAAATATATGAAACATTTCTATATAGGAACAAGACAAGAACATTTACCATCCAAATTAATATTCACTCACTGGCCAGTTTGGCTCAGCGGTTAGAGCGTCAGCCCACAGACCAGAGAGTCCCAGGTTCAGTTCCCGCTAAGGGCATGTACCTTGGTTGCAGTTTGTCCTTAGCCCCGGTTGGGGTCATGTGGGTGACAGCCAGTCGATGTGTCTCTCTCGCATCGATGTTTCTCTCTCTCTCTTCCTCCCTCTCTCCCTCCCACTCTATCTGAAGATAAATGCAAAAATATCCTTGGGTGAGTATAAAAAAAAAAATTAAAAAACAAAACAAAACAAAACTAATATTCACCCTGGCTGGTTTTGCTCAGTGGTTAGAGCGTTGGCCCGTGGACTGAAGGATCTTGAATTTGATTCTGGTCAAGGGCACATACCTGGGTTGCAAGTTCAATCCCCTGTCCCAATCAGGGTCATGTGGGAGGCAACCAATTAATATGACTCTCTCACATCGATGTTTCCTTCTCTCCTTCTCTCCCCCTTCCACTCTGTAAAAAAATATATATTAATGGAAAAATGTTCTGGGGTGAAGATTAACAAAAAATAACAACAAAAACGAATATTCTAGTAAAGCTCCTGGCCACTCAAAAAAATCTCATTATTTTCATATAATATATTCACCTAGAAAGAGATTCGACTGACAAAATAGTAAAAGTAGTGAGTTTAGTAGCATGGCCACATGTAAGATTAACAAACAAAAATGATAATTAAAAATTTTTTTTTATCCTCACTCAAGGACATTATTGGCATTTATCTTCAGATAGAGTGGGAGGGAGAAAGTGAGGGAGAGAGGGCGGAAGAGAGAGAGAGAGACATTGATGTGAGAGAGACACATCGACTGGTTGCCACTCACAGGACCCCAACTGGGGCTGGGGACAAACTGCAACTGAGGTACGTGCCAATAGCGGAAACTGAACGTGGGCCTCTCTGGTCCACGAGCCGACGCTCTAACTGCTGATACAAACCGGCCAGGGCTATAAACAAAAATTAAATAATAAAATGT